ATCGAGTAGAGGAAGACTTCTCCTACCCGATGGATATGTTGTTTTGTGTAGGGGTGCCTTGAATTCCGAGAAATCAACGAGAGAAGTCATTGTTTACAAAGGCTGTTACGCCCTAATTCCTGCTCTAACTAGATATGAGGGGAAATTCTTTTTGAAGAGGCTACATTTTTCATTGAAGTTTAAATGGAAAAAATCTATGTTTGATTTCACGTAGCATTAACGTGAACATTATTTTGAGTTGGGGTTTTTTCGGGGAAATCGAAGACAACATATCAAGAAGACTGGAAATTTTCTCTTTTTTTTCCATACGCCCTTTATAAGTCAGGCACAATCGCGTCATCTACCGCTCAAAGATAAATGCTCCGAGCGAATTTGGCAATAAAGATTATAACCTCAGAAGAGAGCGAGGAAGAGAGGTTTGTATATTTGCTCATTTATCTATGCACTGAAAACGAACCTAACTCAGAGAGTGAATCCCTTTTACTCAGTTGTGAACCACTGTCACTCATTCGTATGGAGACATTCCTAAACGCGTAGGTCACTCAGCCTACGCTTTTAGACATTTCTCCATACGAATGAATTTGGAAACGCACATGATTTTCATACAAAATCAAACTTAATGGAATTCATCTGAGTTTCACATAACATTTATGCGATCACGTTCATTTTATATGATTTTTAATATAAATTTTTCCGGCCTCATAACATTCATGTGACTTTGTGGTGGGATTTGCAGCTATGTGGCTGCAGGAAAGCTATGTGAAATTCACATGGATTTCATACATTATATATGTGATAAATTTTTTGAGTGTATGCTTGAAATCTGGCAAAGTTGCCAGTCTTCTTTACATGAAGTCTTCGGGAAAATGGTATACACGGCGAATGAGAACGACTCAAATTTGAGTTTAGTTCACTAGTGCAGGAACTCAGTGATGAGTAAATTTGCGGCAAATTATTTGCCTCATGTTTTTCCAGATTTTTCCAGGATTTTCCAGGGAAAAATTCCCGAATTTGAGAAAAGTGAGACATTTTTACTCAAATTTTACTGATCGCTGAGCTCCTGCACTTTTGGCGATTATGAGTGAACTAATCTCAAATTTGAGTCGTTCTCATTCGCCGTGTAGATATAGAGTTCTCTACCACCGTTAGTATTAGTGAGCAGTTTAACTAATCCATGCATTTTACTGGTTGAAAATAAAAAACAAACCGCTGTCAAGTCGAACACTTTGACAGCTGATTTCGTGGTTGAAAATAATAAACAAATCGATTTTACACGGCTACACTAGCTTGGTTGTATGCTCTAACATTGTAACGAAATAAATAATATAATGAATGAAAAAATCTGCAATTCAGGATAGCGCCAATTAGATGACAACTAGAGTTAAAACCTGGCACACTTATCCTTCGTAAAAATTATTGAAAAAATGTGATTACTTAGAAAATGGTTCTTTCGGTTTTTCTTTGCAATTTTTCTCCATCGTGAAAATTTTCATGGAAAACATATTTGAAATTATATTTTTATGAATTTATGAGATAATTTCACTTCATTATAAGACACTTTTTTTCCTTTGATTTGTTTTCCGTTGATTCCGACCCATCAACTCATGGACCAGGGACCAACGGCTTTACTTCCTTTCCGAAGGAAAGCGTGATCAGGGATTTTATGCCTCAGAAAATCCGGCGGCGTCGACTGGGATTGAACCCAAGCTTTTTGAGGTGAGAGGCAATCACGATTGCCACTACACCACCGGTGCCACTATAAAACAATATGTGACAAAAGTGGATGCATTACTAACTTTAATCAAACCAGAAGTAACCGAGAACATTGGGATTGAACCCCGAACAACCGAGATGAGAGGCTTAGTAACCCTAAACCACAGATGCTTTGGGAAAATGGATGACTAAATCATGTTGCTTGCACTCCTGGGGTCAGGCATGGGAAACCATTTGCATTCATTTCATACATTCATTTACATTCATTTGCCTCTAACTTTTTTCATCAACAGCATTCCGCAAAATGATGTAAATAACTTTTGTAGGGTTTTTTATTAGCTACAAGTTTTGGTCATAACTCAAATCTGTATCTCTTTTGCATCACGAACTAGAGCGAGCAGAACTTGTTACTGTTTTTCAGTGAATGTAAAATACATTCACTGAAAAACAGTAGTGGCTTCTGTTCGCTCTGCTTCGTCATGCATAAGAGATACGGATTTGACTTGTTAACAAAAGTTATAGCTAATGACAAAACCTACAAAAACTTTATATATCATTTTGCGAAATGCTGTTGAAGAAAAGAGTTAGAGGCAAATGAATGTAAATGAATGCACGAAATGAATGCAAATGATTTTCCATGCCTGCCTGGGGTAAAGTTAAGTGCCATAACTACCTTAAAAAAGCGTTGTTTAAAATTGTCCATTGTTAATCACATATTTTAACACACTTTTATGTGGATAGACATAAATTAAACGTGATCCTTATTCATGTATACGATTGACATTATGATCATTTCCAAATGAACTCCTAATAGTTACATTGCATTTACTTATTTTGAGATTTATGGTCAAATGTATTTTTTGGCCCAAACTCACCCATAAGGAATTTCAATGGTCCAGTTTTTATAGATTTTTAGTAAAATGAGATTTTGATTTAAATCAACTATCTCTTCAACAGTCGTAAATATATTATTGATGAATACATGCTTAAAACTAATTTCCTCGCTAAAATATGAATTTGATAAGGAACGGAACTTAAAATGGTGTGTTTTTGGTGCAATTTACCCTCCAACTTACGGTACTATCTTCTTTTTTGCGCGTTCATCAAGTGCACCAGCGGTCTGTTGGAAGTTTAATAATTTGCGAGTCACGACTGCGTGTATTATTTGTAATTAACGTCTCCCCCAAAAATATTACTATTAAAACAAAACTAAAATCTGACTGCATTGACACCCTCTTGTACGCAATATATAATTTCAAATATTTTTTGGTGAATTTCTACTGATGTTTATTCCTTAAATTCATAAATTCACTAATAAGCTAAAGCTATACAAATATGCTAATAAAGATCATGTGTCAAATAATTTGTGCATGCATAACATAATTATAATCTGTTGTGATTGGCTTTTCAATACTAGCAATCTTTAGTAAAATAAATTTAAACTACAATGTGTTGAATCGTAACCTACCTAACTAATAAAAACCAAAGATTCAAGTAAGCTAAAGGAGAAAAATCTATACAACTCTCTAATAAGGAAAATCCCCAAAGGCTTGGTAGCCATCATAATGAAGTAATGAAATTGGCTTGTTAGCGGAATGCTTAAATAAAACAGCAAAAAAGGCTATCTTCCATTTAATTCCACTTAATTAATTTTGGTATCCATGACAGATACGTATTTCGACTACAATGTGCAGTCTTCATCAGTGTCATTCCCACTAAAGACAACAGTTAGGTAGGTTACGATTCAACACATTGTAGTTTCATTTTTATACCTATGATCTTGACTTTTTTACCTAGGGGATGAGTACTTAAGGGGGTTAGATTTTGATAAGTTCTTTAGTGGGAATGACACTGATGAAGACTGCACATTGTAGTCGAAATACGTATCTGTCATGGATACCAAAATTAATTAAGTGGAATTAAATGGAAGATAACCTTTTTTGCTGTTTTATTTAGCATTCCGCTAACAACCCAATTTCATTACTACATTTATTTAATTGTTTCATTGAATTATTCGATAAAAAAATCAAAGGCATTAAGCAATGGAATGCAAAAATTATTATCACACACGCAACGAATCGAAAAGTCTGGGAAAACTGGCAACAAGGCGCCACTGATGTGCTTTTCATGATGAACTTAACCACCGTGACGTCATACTTTTCGTTCCAATTGGAAATGACATCCGCTGCGGGCAATGTTTACAAGTCTGTTTTGAACAAAAGTTGATCCGTTTCATAGTCTCAAAGTAGTATTTCGCGGAAAAGATGACTAAAAAGTGCATTGTTCCAAAATGTAATTCAACCCACAAAACAGAAGGGGCTCGGTTTTTCCGATTCCCGTCCGTGAGAAGCAGTATGGTGGAGATATCCCAGCGGAGGTTCCGCGAATGGAAGAACATTCTCGGATTCCGAGAATATCCATATAAATATGTTTGTAACCAGCATTTCATTTCTGGTAAGTTGAATAATTTGAAAATATGCTGCAAGTATAGAATAAATATTTTTCTAGGGAAAGCTGCCAGGATTTCCGACATAAATGTTGATGATTGGGTACCTACATTGAATATCGCAAAAATCAATTCCGTAGTGTTGGATGATCTTACGGATCTCCTTGATCAAGAATGTCAGGAAAGTGCAGATAATGCTGATGAAACAGCAACTCGTTTGATTGTCGATCAGGTTGATTTCGAAACGTTCGTGGGAGGATTGTTGGAAGATACAGATTTAAACTGCACAGTAATGCCCCAAATCTCGCTTCCTCGTAATGAAACTCCTGCTTTCTGGAACGAGCAGAACGAAAATAATTCTTCATTCATTCTCGAGTGTAAGTACATTTTATGCTCTATGTTGGTATGTTATATATCTAGTATGTATTTGCAGATGTTGACAAAGTCAATGATGGTGTTGTGCCCATCAGTACCAGCATCGGAAATTCAACCAGCTTTTCTGAGCAACGAAGTGATGCTCAATGTTACCTGGAAAGAACCGATCATAACTACTGTAGAGTTGAACCGACATGGAACTGCACTGTGTTTCAAAAATATTCTGAGCAATTAACTTCTGTGTCCGATTCAACTGATGGCGTAGATGATGCAGATCATTCTCAGCAAGGTGTTATTATTTTTTAAATATGTTTATGCGATATTCTTACAGTTTAATATATGTTTTAGAGGCTTGCAGTGCCACGCACAGACGTGAGACATTCGATATAGCTGGACAAACACCACCATATTGAACCTGGAAGAGTTGAACACGCTGCAGGAGAAAGAAAAATATCAAGATAACATCATGAAGGCGTACCAGAAGGAACTAGCGAGGCTGCAAACGAGAGTAGACGTTTTGGAAAAGGAACTTTCGAATAAACAGCATGGTTTGCTTTGGTCAGATGATGACTAGCGCTGTAAGCGATTCACTGGCATAAGTAGCTTCAAAACATTAAAAACGATCTTTGAATATGTCAAGAATTGCTTGTTTCAGCCTCACTGTGCTCTAACAAAGGATCAAATGTTCATAATGACTTTACGTAAACTGCGTCGCAGCACACCGTTTGTAGATTTAGCAGATGAATATTCCGTTTGTACTACGACAATATCGAAATATTTTCATAGAACATCCCAAGTAACAATACAAGCTGAACATTAAGAACAGAAGCTGATTATTGGTTAATTTAAGGTGTACAAAGCTGGTTAACATCAGGCTGAAAATAAAGTTGATTAGTAGTGTATGAAGCGAATTGTATCCCCATAATCCAACCTCTATAGGTTAGCTGATCCAAAGATTGAACAAGCCTTATTTAAGCTTAACACAACTCCACAAATCAGCAATGCGTTACACATATTTTGATAGCTTGATTTGTTAAATGTCGTCAGTTTCTGTGTCACTCGTTGCATGTCCGGCATTTTAGTTCTACTTAATTCACTGCCTACCTTTCTAATTACTAATTACATCCAAATGACCATCAAAATAAATCACGTTCTTGTGTTCACATTGTGTTAAGTGCATTTGAAAATGAGAGGAATGTTTAACTGTCACCAGTTGTTGCTTACAATTCTGCATTGCCGTATAATACTCTTCCGGGTGCTGTTATTCAACTTTAATTTGACGTGCTTCAAGTTAATGATCATACCTTTTACCACACATCTGTCTAAATGGTCCAGTAGGTATGGTTGACGCCTATGAATCAGCGACTGCTGGTTCGAATCCCGAAATGCAAAGGTAATTTTTAGACTTATATTAACAATATAAATATGTTAATCCAATTAGTCAGCAACAAGTTGAAGCAGTTCCAATATAAATGCAGAAGATATGAAGCGGTCTTCTATTATTATTTTTGAAATAAAACTAGAAGGCTGAACAAGGGTTGGAAAAAGCTTATAATGTCTATTACTGTTAAGCTTTTTGCTGATTAAAATCACCAGATTTAGATGTTTAAAAGCTGGACAAAGGTTAACGTGGTCTATGTACAGCAATTATTCAATCTAAGGCTAAATTGAAATCGATTAATCAACACTTGTTAAGCATCAAATTGTTACCTGGGATTATTTGTTCTGTACGATACATTGAAATATGCCTTAGAGCCTGTTTCGAGAGATATAAGCATTCGCCATCTTCCTCAAATTTTTCGGCAACAGTACGGATACAGTCGTGTACACATTATCGATTGCTTTGAGGTCACTACTGAAGAACCTATAGATGTTAAGGCTGCTCTTTCTCACCACAGCTCGTACAAAATGAGAGAAACTACAAAGTTTTTGATTGCAATGTCTGCTGATGGAAGAGTGTCTTTCATTTCACATGCATACGCTGGTCGATGCTCGGATCGAAATATCGCTGAAACTTCTGGATTTATTGATACACTTGAGCCAGGCGACGTTGTAATAGCCGATAAGGGTTTCGATATAAGCGATTTGATATCTTCGAAAGGTGCAATACTGAATATCCCAACATTCCTTCGAAAAGACTCACAGTTGAATCCCTTGGACATGGAGAGAGATAAGCAAATAACAACGCTAAGAGTACATGTAGAACGGCTGATTGGAGTGTTGAAGTCGAAGTACGAGTATCTGAACGGGCTTGTCAAGGTAGATTCTTTGAGACGATTCGAGAATAGCATCAATGCTGTAGATCTAGCCGTATGGGTATGTTGCATATTGGTAAATTTTAATAACTCTATTGTGTAAGGTTCCGTGAATTTGTTCAATTGCATTTGAATTCTTCATCATACAAGAAAAATAAAAGAAATGGAGAAAAACTGGTTTATTCGGACATTAATTTACAAAGTGGTTTCTTTCTCCGTGTAATAATTTCCCAGCAACTCAGGAACAATTATGTTGTAAAAGTACATCTGGCTACGCTGCTTACAGTTCTCCCACAAATCTGCATTTCTTTCAACTTTTATCACACAACTTTCGGTCTTGCTCCAAACCATGAAGAGACCAAAGTCGGCTCCAGTTATGAACATTTGTGCTTGAATTTGGAAGTGATAAGCGTGACTCTCGACTATCTCAAATGTACCATCAGTCATCTTGATGAATGAATTAGGAAGAGCTGCCAACTTTTCCAGACCCAACTGCTCATTCAAAGAACTTTTCGCATCTAATCGATAAGGGCATTTGATTTCAACAACAAATTTCCCACAGCACGAACAGCTGCCCATGCAGTCGGGTGATGCCGCTAGAAAAATGTTTTCTCGATCAAGAAATATTCCACAATCAGACAGTCGTAGCACAGACAAACAGACATAACTCATTGAATATTTCTCATTGTAAAACATCGTCGCTAGAACATTACCGCCATCTGTTGAGTATACTTTGGTGGGCACTACGCTGAACAGATGGCGGTAGTGTGTAAACGTCAAACGCAAGGGAATTGACTATGCGCGCCACAGGTGGCGGTACTACCAATCACGATACTTTTAAACTGTCCGTTAAATGCTTGTTCGATGAACAACTTGCGAGTGTTATGTCTGTTTGTCTGTGGTCGTAGGTTTTCATGTTGTTCAGCTAACATTTTACCCAAAGCTTTTTTAGCAAGTGGCTCATTCTTCCGGCCGTAGGCAAGTGCTGGTGTGTCAAAGTTCTTCATATACGGGTGGCATATTTTTTTTTAGCAAGGTCAGCTTCGGTGGAGGATACTCATTCGATGTGTTCACCACTTGCTTGAGACATGAAGCTGTTACTCTTCCTGTTCGGACCCACTTCCAAAAACTGCAGTCCCTTTGCATACGGGTCAATTTCTCAACTAATACTACATCAGATTCTGTCAACATAAACTTGAATCCTCGTCCCAAATCTCTAAGATATTGTAGATTACTTGCACGTAGAGCGATGTTGAAGTTTCCTTGGAGCAAGATACTTTTGTTGGTGATGAGCTCATCGGGTACGTGATTATCCAGACAGGTCTGGCACGAAAAGCTGACACCGTCACAAATCGTGTTTATAATTACAGCTTTTCCGTCATCATCACTCAGCTTCCTTAGCATATCGTAACTAACTTCTTCCCGTAACTAACATCTCGAACTTTTTTGTACAGATCGGTTCGAATGTTTTTCGATGGCTGGCGCCAGTAGCATGGCATATCTGTAACTGTGACCTTTACATTGATTAGTGCATTATTTGATTCTATTAAAGGAATTTAAGTAATACCTTTCTATTAATAGACTGGGCATGAAGATTAGCTAATGAGTACAGGATGGCACTGACATGGGAGCAAGTCTCGCTTATACCGGCAACGCAGGTGCAGTGTGCATATATTATGTTTCCTCGTTGGTCTAAGATTATCCAAGGTTTCAACATACCTTCCCTCAGTTTCATTGAGTGGATAACCTGACAAAAGATTTTAAAAAATAAACTTACTATGTGTTACCCACAAATATGGTTTCTTACCTTTCCAACAACAACATGATAGCCTTCTCGTACAGTTCCCTGGACGGAATGCACGAACCCGGATTCTAATTTTTTTATACCCATCCATACTTCGTCTATTCTTCATAGGATGACCAGTATATGGAGACTCGAAGTTTAGAAGGTTATCGACGACATGAGCAGTAGTAACCGTGGATGGGATATTCTGGTTTCCAAGCGCAGGGAAGGACATACTGTATGGACCGTTATATCCAATCACTTTGATTTTTTCTAAATATCTGCGGTATACATTTGGTGTTGTTTTCGGCAATCCTTTAGCATATTTTGAAAGACGCCCGCCGATTGGATTGAGCTGGCTTAACTGCAACATTTTCAACGCACGTACGCGAAATAGCAAAATATGAGACACTCGAGAAATTGATACAAATAATCACAAATTAGTTTCGGAGTATTTAAATGCACTACATCGAACTAGTTTTGTTTCCAATGCATTGAAAAGCAACTACTCAGCTGATCCGGTTTGTTTGTAAACATTGCTCGCAGTGGTTTTGACATTTTCGAGGTTAAATGCGTTCGTGGATAAGTCCATAGGAGTAAGGAGTTACAGAGCTCTCGTCAACGCCAATTCCTATGTCGAGTGTGGTGTCCCACTAACTGCTACCAAGAGGACTGAGAGAACAAAAGAGACGGCAAGTATATGCTACATGACAGCTAAGCTCGTATTCGCTTTTCCTCTCATAAATCGTAAACAATGGGGTCATCCGTCGTGAATGGAACGATTTTTTTCTACGACGAAATGCATTATCATTTCGCTTTTTCTGGACGACGGTTTTTATGCATAAAAAGTGAAAGAAGGAAGATGTTTTGCTTTTTAACACAAACGCACACGGCCATGAGAAATGCCATTGGAGTAAAGAGAGTTTCCCTGCCATTCCTTCGACATATCCTCTGACAACCCAAGATATGTTCAAATCCTACAGGTAAAGCGATCTGCATGTGGATTGAATATAGTTTTGAGAATTCAGGATGAATGAAACATAGGATTTAATTAGGGGGTATGTCGGCCTCGGCACTTCTTTCCCTTTTATCGCCAGGGGAGTTAATGAAGTCTTAGAGCACAGACTTAGAGTGTTAATTTTTTGCAGAACAATGCATTATTATTATTTAACTTTATTAGGGAGGCTTTCAGCCTTGGGCTGGTTCGCCTCCAATCGCAGAACAATGCATTGGAACATGATGCAAATAAATACCCGCTGATGATAATAGGTAAAGAAGTGCTGAATCCGAGATTTATTCTATTTTCTATCGTTAATCTTTGAATATGTTTTATTCAAAATGTGTTTTTGAATATCCAAGAGTATGGAATTATGATAATCGTACTAGAATTAGCAGAAAAATCATAAATACAGTTTTTGTTTGATGTGATCGTCTCACTCCACAATTAGCATTTTACTTATCCTCTGCTTTTGCAGGAAGCATTGATGAAATCTGTGAATAAGATGTTGCCTACAGACACTCTATACACGTACACACCTTTCAATATATGAATCTTGGGTATGTTTGAATTGTACATACCAGTAAAGCTGGTATAAATGGTAAAAGGTGGTATAAGCAGATGTGTTATCATTATTCCTGTGACCCTTTTTTTGAAGAAGAATAAATTCCGTTCCCGCAATTAGTAATTTCCTACGGTGAAGATTAAAGTGTAAGGTCCGAAATCCGGTCATTTTGTGATCCTGTGCGAACATTTTTGAACTTCCACTGATCCGCTGAATGTGGTACTCCGGAGGTACAGACATGCTCCGTAGGCTTTCTTGGACGCATCGCAGAAGCCGTGAATTTGAATTGAAGCAAGGTCCGTACAGAACGCCACCCACCTGGTCCTGTGGGCCAGTCACCTGTGGACCTTACACTTTAATCTTCACCGTAGGAATTAACTAATTGCGGTTATTTGCAACGGGAACGGAATTTATTCTTCTTCAAAAAAACTACAAGGAACAGCCCTAAGGGATTGTACGCAATGGTGACGTAGGACTACGTGGTCTTATATAATAAATGTTATTTGTGAATTGCAGCAGAAGCTTGTGTTTTCTGTAGGAATAGGAATTTGAGCGGGGTTCTCTCTGCTTATACTCTTTAGTATGACGCGGTATGCATGGCCCACAGCAACTCACGAAGAGTTACTGATTCCGATCCATAGCGGTGTGGCTTCAGCCTCCTTCTATGGATGCTCATGTGGGCTGCTGCTTGCTGCTTGCAGGGAGCCTTTCGTTGTGTACTGGAGAACACCACCAATTGAATAAACATCTTTTGGTGACACCAGATGGAATTCAATTTTAAAATCTGTGTTAGGGAAATCGCTTTTCGCAGGCAATCGGTGATAATTTTAATTATAAAAGCAACTGTTCGAGCGTGAGCGTGTTTCAAACAACGGAGCCACAACTCTGGGAAAACGAAATTTCACTGCAGTAGCACTGATCTTCACAGTGCCATCTCTTAACGCACTATAACCACTTTCACGAATTTATGGATTCGGACACACGTATCTACGGAACAGCCCATAGGATGACTCATGCACTACCACCGACGGAACTTCCCGGTTTGGTCACAAACTTTGGATCGTTTCGGATGTGAACGAGGAAATTAATTTTAGATTGTCTTGCACTGTATCTCACTTGATTACCTTTAGACGATCGAGCGGACAAAAAAAAAACACGGAATAGAATACCGAACGCTTCTGCTGTATATTTGCAACTGAATTCAATTTGCTAATGACTTTGCACGGATAGAGAATAGAATATTTACAGTGGTCGCGTTTGTTATGTCAGTTTGAATTCAATTTTGTTCAAAGAATTCAAGTTTTGCTTATGATTAAATTTCTTAATTACTATTTACAAGTTCAAATACATAAAGCGAACTATATACATACTCAGCGTACTGATCAGCAACAGTTGCACATTCGTGCAATTTTCAATAGTGACAGTTTGAAAAATGATGAAATCTTAAATTTATCAGATGCGTAGAAATATATCTGATCGAATGGTGATAAAATGATTGAAATTGGTCCAGAGGCAGCTGAGTTATTAACGTTCAAAATCTTTCATAATTTTGTTACATGTTCCATTTTTGGTTTTCACAAAGTGTACTCCAATATAGAAATCACAAACGTAGTCCTACGTCAAAAGGGTCACAGGAATAATGATAACACATCTGTGTACGCGCGCGATTGGTGGATAACTAATTTATTGCCCCTATCAGCTGTTCACTCGTACCTACAATCTACTCGTGGAAAGGAGATTAACTGATAAGAGAGGATC